GTTCAAAGAGTCATGGACTGGCCAGATGCAGAAGAGTGGTGCGAGGCACCAGGCAGGGAAGACTGTAATCCCAGGGTCGTGTGTTGGGTGAAAGATTTCTGCATTGTAGGGGGTTGGACTAGATGACCCCGGGGTTCCCTTCCAACTCTACAACTCTATGATTCTAAAACATTTTGGCTGCATAATGAAAAGGACATCTGGAGGGGGCCTAAGTCATGACATTCTTTGCAGTCTTCCAGATACTGCACTAGAAGTCCTCTTTCATCCCCCATGATTTGATCACACAGACACACACACACACTCAGGGCAGTGCAAGGTGTGTCAGAAACAGCATTCCCTTAAATGTCCTGCCAACTGTTTTACTGTCTTCAAAGGCAGGTCCTAACAATTCCATCCCAGAAACTGCAACGAACATGTTTTGCGAACAGGCTGCCTCAAAGGGAGACGAAAGACGACAGACCTGCGAGACATGGAAAGGCTTCCGCTTGTAAAAACCTCCCCCAACAGCTGGGCAAGGGCACCTTAGAGAGCCTAGAGGCTTCCTTCAAAATGACGCAGAGAAATGATGGAACTCAGCAAGCCTTTACAATATTTTGTTGGCTCCTTTTGGACAAATAATTGTGAGGATCATCTGCTCAGCACCATAATTAACCTTAAGCTGAGTTTTTTGGGGTTGTTTTTTTAAAAAAATCAGAATTGGTGGTTTGAAACCCTATAAAACTCACTTCCAAAAAGTTAATTGCTGCACGGTGAGTGAGCCAGGTTGAAATGAGATCATGTTCTTAGTTTAATCCCCAACAGAAATCACTTTTAACTGCCAAGGCTACCCTCCTGGAATTCTGCTTTCAGCAAGTGTATGCAGAAAGGAGCTTGGGATCTAGTGGAAGATTGCGAGGTGATTTGCCGGAGATCAACACAAGTTTCCAAGTCCCAATGCTTTAACAGAAGCAGCTCTACAATGTAGAAATCTACATCCCCCCCAAAAAAAAAAGATTGGGGAATCAAGAGTAAATTCACGTGGGAAATGATTTGTTTGCAAGCTTCATTTAAGATTATAAGAAGATCCATGCTGGATCAGGCCAGGGGCCCATCTAGACCATGGGACGTGGGTGGCGCTGTGGTCTAAACCACTGAGCCTCTTGGACTTGCTGATCAGAAGGATGGCGGTCCTGGCCAGGCCTCCACCTATTCCACAAAAGGTTTACAAAGTTCAGTTATTGCAAAAGTTATCTTATGTCCTTTAGAGGAGAAATTGTGAGTTGCAGAATTTTAAATACCCGTCATCATCCTTGACTTCACTCAATTTTGTTTAAGCCACTTCCGCCTTAAGGAGGAGGTGGGGTTGCGGGCTTCACGGCCCCTCCACGCGCACAGCGGGTGGAGGCCAGCCCCACGCGATTGGGGGGATTCCCAGCCACGTGACCCCCTGGCCGGCCAATCGGCTGGCTCGGGGGCGTGGCCTGCCCTATAAAGGCAGGACGCAGCCGGGGATCTCCCTCTTTCCCCGCCTGCCAGCTGTTCCTGTTTTTCCCACCCTCCCGCCCTATAAGGTTTTCATTCCTTGACCTTGCTATGGACCTTGGTTGGTCCATAGCAACCCCCCGTTGTGGGGCCTGGTAGGAATTTTTCCACTTGGCAAATTGGCACCAGCCACTTGGTTTTCACCTACCTTGTAGCAAATCGTCACAACTTTCTGGGTATTGGGAGTTAGGCATTGGTATTGTTCTGTAGATGGAAGAGGGGAGGTAGCGCCAACACCTGCCCCACATATTGAAGGGTTGTCCGTTAAAGGATTCCGGGGGCGTGGCCCTGTCCGAAGCCTAGGGAGGTTAGGGCCTAAGGCACACCCCCTAGCGGTGACCCCGGGGGAGTTCCTAGTTGATGTGCATCAGCAGAACTCTCCCTACTGGTGGTTAACCCTTCCCGGACTTCAAGCAGACGGGCTGGATTTGGATATAGTCGGTTAGGACCAATGCCTAAGCCAATACTGCTCATCACCTGTAACCAATAAAGTTGTGGCCTTTTTCAGCCCATTAAACTTAATAATTGTGTCATGTGTCTTTATTTCCTCCTGGGGGGGTCGGGAACTTGCCACGCGATAAGACTCTTCCATTTTCTTCTAGTTGTGAGGGTGGGGGTGAGGAGGGGCGTCACAAGTAGAGCAGCCTAGGGCCTCTCTTCATCTAATTCCAGCCCTGCCCATAGTCACCTTTGACCAGTGGCGTAGCGTGGGGGTGCGGGGGGGGCGGCCGCACCGGGCGCAACATCTGGGGGGGCGCTCGCACTCGAGTGCTAAAATCCACGGGTTAGGGGGCGCAAATTACTTGCCTTGCCCCGGGTGCTGACAACCCACGCTACGCCACTGCCTTTGACTGGATTTTTTAACCCATCTAGACCAGCATCCTGTTCTCACAGTGGCCAACCAGAGGATTGTGGGAAACCTGCCAGCAGGATTTGAGCACAAAAGCATTCTCCCCTCCTGTGGCTTCCAGCAGCTGGTCTTCAAAACCAACTGTTGGGGCTGAGCATAGCCCTTATGGCTTGAAGCCATCATTGATAGCTTTATCCTCCATGAATCTTTTAAAGCCTTCTGAGTTGGTGCCCAGCACCGCCTCCTATGAAAGTGAGTTCCATAGTTATTATTATTTTTGAAAAGCCAGCAACTGCAGCAGAGGAAAACTTCAGGCTTTTTCCGCAGACAGCGCGAGGGCATGTTTTTGACCAAGTAACTAGAGCAGAGTTTCATTTAAGCCCTGAACCAAGTCTGTACAAGCAAGGCTTTTAACACGGCATCTGCAGAGAGCAGGCAAAGGGGCCATCTATCAGGAGAACAGACTGTATCTAAACAACCTACAAATACCAGTTTGAGTGTACAGTGGTACCTCAGGTTAAGAGATTAATTCGTTCTGGAGGTCTGTTCTTAACCTGAAACTGTTCTTAACCTGAGACACCACTTTAGCTAATGGGGCCTCCTGCTGCTGCCACACTGCTGCCACACAATTTCTGTTCTCATCCTGAAGCAAAGTTCTTAACCCGAGGTACTATTTCTGGGTTAGCAGAGTCTATAACCTGAAGCGTCTGTAGACTAAAGGGGGACAGTGATGTGTGGATAAAAGCAATATATGTGTGTACCACAACATCCAGCAGCAGTGATCGTGTTAGAATGTTGGCTACCTTCTTATAGTTGCACAAAGGCCTATGGGCTTACTATGGGATGCTGGAGAATTCCGACAAAAACAGAAATGAGAGCAAAATCGTGAATGCTTGCTTATTCTTCCTGTGTAGAAGAAGGGAATCAATCCAACAAATGTGATCGGTATTTGCTGCTGCTGTTGCTTCCAGGCTGCATCCACAAGGCAGTTTATTCTGTTTTGGGGACTTTTCCCTAACTCTTAAGTTCTGCATTATATTTGAGCCTCCTCTGAACTATAGTGCAAGTTTGGTGCTCATTTCCATGTTATTTGCTTCCAGGGCGAGAGGAGGGGAACAGTTTGCAAATAATGTGAAAATGAGTGCTAAACTTGTGCTATATATTCCACTGTATTTCCAGAAGTAGCTTTTGCATCATGCCAAAGCTCAGATACCTGTATAATGTGGAAATTAACTGTTAGGGGAATATTGTGAAAATGGATGTGACTCTTCAATTCTGTTTCTGATTATGAGGCCGCTTGGCAGATAATGCTAGCACATTATTGGAGCCTCATTGGTGGAGGAGTCTGGAGCACTGGTGACGAGTAGGGGGGTGGGAGGCCAGAGCTCCCCCAAAATGTTCAATGAAGGGGCCAGGGGCCCCTCAAAATTCTGCAGTGGCCAAATATGCAGGCCATGGGGTGTCCGCAAGACTCGTCAGCATGCCTCACAGTGTGCGCAAGTGATGTCAGCACATTGCAAGCACATCGCGGAGCATGCTGACATCATGCGTGCATGCCTCAGGGCATGCATGTACAGTGTGATGATGCCACACAGCCCCAGGTCCTCTCAATTGTGGGGGCAAGGGGGCATATGTGGTCTGGAGGCCTGGTCTAAGTGCATTTTCCAGCCATGGGTGGTGAAACTTTGGCCCTCCAGATGCTGCTGAACTACATTTCCCAACAACCACAGCCAGCGTGGCCAATGATCAGGGATGATGGGAATTGTATTCCTGGAAAGGCAAAGATTCCCCAACCATTTTAAGCCCATTGATTTCCATTAGAGAGAAGGCCTGTAGTTTAGTGGTGAAGCAACTCCTTTGCACACAGAAGGTCTCTGGTTCAGATAGGGCTGGGAACAGCCCCTTCCTAAAACCATTGAAATTTGCTGGTAGTCCCCCAATCTGGTACCCTCCAGATTTTTTGAGGACTGCAACTGCCATCATCTCCAGCTAGCATGGCCAATGGACGGGGATGATGGGAATTGTAGTCCAAAACATTGGAAGGACACCAAGTTGGGGGAGGCTAGTATAGACAATATAGAGCAAGACAAACCAATGACTTATACCATTCAGACCATTAGTTTATCTAGCTCAGTATTGTCCTACTGTGCTCCTAGACTATTGGGAGGCAGCTTAAGATGTTTTCACAAGGACCTCTCCCACACTGCATATTCGGGCACTGAGAGCAGCATGGGAAACAATGTTTTGGAAGGTTTGATCCTTCTGAATGAGATGCGCTTTGATACTGCAATATTGAGACTCAAACGATCAAGTCTAATCACACATATCTATATCTATCTATCTATATCTATCTTTCTATCTTTATATCTTTCTATCTATGAAATTGTTTTGAAAAGGCATGTCTTCTGTCCATCTAGGAAGGCTGAAGGTTGTAGGGTTAAGAGCGATGAAACCATTATCTTGAACTGACCACAGAAAACTCCTGATTTGCTGGAATGAACACACTTTATTAGAGCCTTGGGTATGCAGCCGTACAAGAACTCAAACTGCAGTTGGTAAGAAGAAAAGCAGGAAAGGAAAAAGAGCAGTATCTCAAATGAGGAAAGGCTGATGTGTTCAAGGTGCAGACTTAACGGCCAGAGACGTGGACCTGTTCACGAGATGAGATCACTTTTCCGTCTTGGACCTCCTCGACAATTGTGCGGACTTGGCGGGTGGTTGAGGGTCCTACAAGGAGACAGAAGGGAGGGGGGATGTTATTTGCAGGGAAGTGATTCAGCCTCCACCATTTGCTGACCTGCCTCTCTGTGTCCTACACATCAGCTAAAGCTCACTGTTAGAAGGGACTGGATTTTAACATCTTCCATGGAACCTCAGAATGCGTTGCTTTACCAAACCATGGGAATGCAGAGCAAGCTTTGCAGGACTGGCATTTAAAGGGCTTCTTGTGCTTTGATCAACATCTGCAGAACGTTTCTTCAACCTTTACAGACCTGGGGCCAATATTTAACTCCGACCAGCCATTTTCTATTTGTAACGTGGCACCCACTTTTATTTCATACTGTATGTGTCTTTCTCATTTCCCTTCTCCCTCTCTCCTACACACACACACACACACACACACACACATGCACACACTATCCCCTCTTCCATCTTTCTCCTCTCCAGCTTGCCCCTTCTTTTTTGTAAAAAAATTAAACAAAGAAAAAAAATAGTGGCACGACCCCCTTAAGACTTAACTGGCATGACCTGCTTAAGAATAACTTTACTGAATCACATTAGAGGTCTGTCTAAGGCAGCATCCTATATCTACAGGGCTGAACCAGATGCCTCTGGGAAACCCACAACAGCCAGCAACTGATATTCAGAGACAGGCCACCTTTGACACTGAAGGCGATAACGCTCTGATGCCTAACAACCATTGATAGCCTTCTCCTCCATGACTTTGTATATTCCCCTTTTAAAGTTGTTCAGGTTGGTGGCCAACACTACATCTTTCCATGGCTTAACTACGGGCTGTACTACAAGTTTTCTTTTCTATTCTGCATCTCCTACCATTCCTCTTCAAAAGGAAAAGACCATAGTTCAGTCGCAGAACTTCTGCTTTGCATTCAGAAGGACTGAAAGCCAAGCCCCAGCATCTTCAAGGAGGGCTGGGATAGACCCCAGTCTGAGTCTTTGGAGAGCTGCTGTCGGTCAGTGTAGACAATACTGAGCTAGATGGACTAATGGTCTGACTTAACCTAAGGCAGCTTCCTATGTTCCTATAGGACAACCCGTAGCTCGATCCAGGCTGAGTTACAACCCGGTTGTTGACTATGACTCATTCATTGAAGGCCAGTGTCTTAATCCAATTAGTTTCCTGTGTTATCAAGTAACTACATGCATTGACTAATACAAATGACATAGACGGCTTTGTTGAAACATGGCACCCTTTTATGAAATACTTCGCTTATAATCCTGAAGAATGGCAACTGCCGAAATCACAGACTGGACTTTGGCAAACTTAACTAGATCGATCCCTACTGGATGGTAAAAATATAGAAACAGCTACCATCTTGAATGGCTAGGCCTACAGTATTTGTTGACAGCACACTGATGAATGTACCATCTCCTTATCCTGTCTGTTTGCATGCTTCAATATTCTCAGCTTTTATAAAACAAAGAGAACTTCTGAAAAGCAAAAGGAAGAGCAACAGCCCAACAGATCCTTACCGCTAGAAATCGCCGACGAATACTGGGAAGAAATGCTGCAAGGGGAGAAAGACAAGACTGGATTAGAGAAACATGAAGAGTTCGTTTTCAGCTGCAATGCAGCAGGTGCAGAAATTGTAATCAAATGCGCTAAAAGGAAAGGCACAACAACACAACTTTGTGTCCAGTTAATTTCGTGATTGCTTTAAAATAAAGGAACCCCAGAGGAAGCCGTGGAACATTTCCATTTGTTACATTTTCTCCTCTGGCCCAATACTATCGGCTTCTTCACACATTACAGCAAACACAGCTAGGAGTGTTTGTGTGGGAAAGTGTACCTGTATTGATTCATACAGATCAGCTGCTGTGTACACAGAGTGTATCCTAGTTGGGTGACACATGTGAATAACTGTATGAGCATGCAAGCACAACTCTTTGTATTCACAAGTATGCAGGTTGTACACTCATTGGATGTAATGTGTGAAAGGCCCTTATAACATTCTGCAATGGGCCAATGGGGGCAGAGGACTGGATATAGGACTCCTGTGCCTTTAGAAATGTACCAGGTTTGCAAGCCAACACAAGACGTTGCTCAAGGGTAGCATGGTGTGTTGACACTATTGCACCAAAAGCACCCACAACAGCTGGACCTAGTGTGCCAATGGCACATGGTGCGCTTAACATACATCAGAAATAATGGGATGGGAGGACAGGCCTAGAACAGCCAGCAATCCTAAATAATTACTTGGCAATTGAAAGACATCCTCTGTGATGGACTGGTTTGGATGCAAAGGAATGCTGGGAGGAACCAGCTGGGGAACCACCAAGGGAAGAAGGCTCAGAGCCTGGGGAGTGGTGGTGGGACATTGTTGAGTGGTCAGAGGGAAAAGACTGGGAAGAGGAGGGGTTGGAAACTGAAGAGGTAACAGGGCTTAGTGAGCTGGCAGAGTCTGTGACAGAGAGAATTCCAGAATCAGAGGCAGAGACTAAAGCAGGAGAATGGGATGAGGAAGGCCAAGAGGCAGAGACGAGTCCAGCTGGTGCAGAGGTATGGGTGTCTTCTTCTGCTGAGACAAGCTTCCCTCCCCACTGGTCTCCCAGAACCAGAAGAGGCATGAAAAGAGCAGAGGAAAGGTTGGCTGCACTTAGGCACAGTCTCCGATTGCTTGGGGAAAACCCTGGAGAGGAGTGGGCTGTGACAAGGTGGGGACTTTCAGTCTCGGCAACTGATCTATGGGGCAAGACCTACCAGGATTGAGCTGCCAGGTTCATTAGGCCCGACACTCCACCAAGTCTGTGCAGATCATGTTCTTGCTAACAAAGAGTTAGCTCCAACTTGCACAGTGTGATTTACTGCCAGCTCACTCCTGACATCCTCCTGTTTCAGCCTATTGACTCCTTATCCAACATTAGAAAATAGCCCTCCTCTTTATACATACTGGGCTTCCTCTCCCTCCAGCAGGCGGCGGTAGGTGGCGATCTCCTGTTCCAGGCGGGTCTTGGTATCAAGGAGGATCTTGTATTCGTGGTTCTGGCGCTCCATGTCGCACCTCAGCTCAGCCAGCTGCTCCTCCACGCTGGTGATCATAACCTGGATCTGGGCAAGCTGGGCTCCGTAGCGGGACTCTGTCTCTGCCAAGCTGCCTTCCAGTGCTGCTTTCTGGGGGAAGAGAATTGAGAGAGAGGAAATCAGAGTTAGCTTCTGAGGGAACCTGCACAGCAACCTTTAATGTTAGAGTCCTCCAGCGGTGGCTGGTAGGACAGAAGGAAGGGAGTCCAACAGTAGGTGGCGCCAATGAGCCAAAGACAGACACAGCCACCCTCTGACTGGTCAGAAGCAAGAAGGCAGGCAGGTGGCAGCTAGTTGAGGACAGACTGATGTTGGCGGGGCAGCACCCCATTCACCCTAATAGACCTTCACTGGATTCCTCCGCGTAATTGGGAATCCTGTGCAATCAGATTCCCTAATCGAAGGGAAACACAGGGGCTCTTGGTCCATGCATATTAAGAACATAAGAAGAGCCTTTCTGAGTCAAGCCAGTGGCCCATCTAGTCCAGAATCCTGTTCTTCCAGTGACCAACTAGATGCCTGGGGGAAGCCTACAAGCAAAATCTGAATTCAACAGCACTCTCTCTACTTGAGACTCCCAGCAGCTAGCATTCTGACTGTGTGTCAGGATGTTGTCAGTGACTCCCGGCTGGTTGCCCAGGAAAGCATAAAGACAAGGAAAAGTTTCTTACTGTCCCTTTTTTATTTCAATCTTTACAGAGAGAGGCTATAGAACTCAGACTCTTGGATAATGGCATTGTCCCAAATGAATCTCCATCCCCATCCCTGTCTCTCCCACTTCCTCATTCATGACTTCTACAGGTGCTGCTACATGCCCTCTGTCTTTGAGCTCTTTGCTCTCCTACTTTTAAGGCTCGCCAGGCTCTGGGAGATGGAGGGTCTGGAATGCTTTCTAACGACAACGTGTCAGCCAGGCATTGTCCTGGCTCTCCCATGATTTCCCAGCTTTTCCTCTCATCTGCCTCTGAGCTGCAACTTCCTTCAAACCCCTGTTGAAAATCTATACTGTCTTCCTCTTCCTCCTCCCTGGAAAGGTCAGTCCCTGACACTGTGGAGGTAGACTACAGCCATCATGACTTGTAGCCATTGATCGCTCCATGAATTTGTCTAACCCTCGTTTACACCCTCCAAGCTGATGGCCATTACAACACCTTCTGGAAGCAAATTCTAATATTTGCTTCCTCAGAGAAGGTAGAAAGTCATTCTAGGAATTCCCAGCAAGTCAGGTCTGGTGGTGGGGTGTGACATTGTGCAACCATTTCCCTGATTAAGGGCAGGGAGAAGATTGCCTGAACACCGTACCGTGCTAAGCTGGGACTGCAGCTCTATTTCCAGGCCTTGGAGGGTTCGTCTCAGTTCCGTGATTTCCGACTTGCCGCTGTGCAGCTGCTCTGTGTTCATGGCAACTTCGCGGTTCAGCTCTTCGGTCTACAAGGAAATGGGGAGACAGCACCATAGTGACCTCACTGATCAAAACGCCCAGTATTCTATTCTTGTTTCTTCTCCCCACCCCCCACCCCCCAAGAAAGTGCATTCACCCCAAAGGAAGACCCACCTTGCTGAAGAACCACTGCTCAGCATCCTTCCGGTTCTGCTCCGCCAATGTCTCGTACTGCTCACGCATCTCTGCCAGGATCTTGGTCAGATCCACCCCAGGAGCAGCATCCATTTCCACAGAGATCTCACCACGGATCTGGCTTCGAAGGACAGTCATTTCCTGTGACAGAGGTACATGGAGCGAGGTTATTCGTAATTAAGATTCTATCATGTTGTTGGTTTTATTGTACACCACTATTGTTATTTTTTTTAAGTGTTGGCTGTTTAGAAATATTCTTATAGATAAATCAGATGCGACTTCTTTGGGGGAAATTCCACCAATCTGAAAAATATAGGTTGTTTTTAAACCTATATTGCACTTAGATTGCAAACCCTAATGAAAGTCTCTTTCATAATGTGCTTCTGTTTCATGTAAGGATTTTCCTACATGCATCTGAAAGCATGAGGCTGGTGTTGTCAAGAGTCAGCTATCCCAGATCAGTACCATATTTTTTCGTGTATAACACGGCCCCTATTTTTTGGGACTCCAAATAAAAAAATCCCCCATATGCACCATACGTGTATAAGATGACCACCAATTTTAAACCTGAAAAAATAGGGGGAAATATAGTCTTATAGACGGAAAAATATGGTATTTACCATACTTGCCAGTAAACTAATTGAAGATGTACCAGAGAATGACTGGTAAGGGTATCAGCAGGTGCATGCGGTCATTTGATTTTGACAGGCTAATTCTCACACAATGAATTATTTTGAGCCATGGCCCCAAGGATTTCGTTCTTCTGCACGTTGCTCTGGATACAATGAGCTTAGGTTGGAGGCCAACCATTGCCACAGTCTGGCTTTGTAGAGACTGGTTTTTATCTCATTACTGTTGCAATCAATTGTAGTCATTGCTACTACTCCGTTTTAGGGGGGGTGCAGTGTGGTTTTGATTTGGATGACTATTATTATTATTATTATTATTATTATTATTATTATTATTTCTTTTCAGCCAGAGCTTGCCAGAGTTCAGTTCTGGCACCTCTCAGGTGGGCGCCATTGCCATTCTAAGACAACAAGGAAGAAGTTCATGGTGAACTCTGGCACCTCTTTTTCTAGAAAAATAGCACTGATTTTTTATATTTTATTAGTAGTAGTAATATGTGTTTATGAAATCTTGTACATCTTTTTCAAAGGCCGATTCTGCCCTAAAAGGCACACTGGAGCAGATCTAGGCTAGATTCTCACAGCTGTACTTGACATGCAGAACTCAGCCTGTTCGCTTTTCTAATGGACTTTTAAGGGCTGGTTCATTCATGCATCTTCAACACTTGATGGCTGCAGTATCTAAGAGTGACTTGCACTTATGAATGGGCCTTTACAGACGGAACAGTCAGAACCTCTTTAAACGCAATGCTTTCCAATGGAGTCCATTCGTAGACTTGACGTCTGTGATCAATGGTATGTTCATGGGTAAATCGGGTTTATGGTTACACAAATTGTTTGGTAAGTATCTAGATCACAGCCCAAGAGGTCTGTTTCCTGCCCATTTTTCCAATGATATTTCAAAGACATTTCATTGTGGCACAGCCTGCTGTGCTGGGCCATTCAGAAGATGCTTGTAGCATGTGCAACCACATTGGACAAAAAGAACATGCGTTGGGTTCATCAGACATAAACCAGTTGAATGCTGGTGTCCTCCCCTCCCCTTTAAAATGTGCACCCCTCTGTGATATTGCCCATTGGGCATCCTTACCTCCTCATGGTTCTTGTGCAGATAAGCCAATTCCTCCTTTAGATTTTCCAGCTGCATTTCCAGATCAGATCTGGACAGTGTTAGATCATCCAAGACTCTGCGTAGACCATTGATGTCAGACTCAACACTCATGCGCAGGGCCTGCTCTGTCTCAAACCTGCATCCACAAAGAATTGAGAGGAAAAGGGAAGGGGAAAGGGGTAAGAGGTTGTCCCACAAAATGTTTATCATAAAGCTCCCAGCCATGGTGCTGGCTTTGATACCAACCCAACCACTGGGATGTGTGTTTTTAACAATTAAACCTACTTGGTTCTGAAGTCATCAGCGGTCAACTTCGCATTGTCAATCTGCAGGAGGATGCTGGCATTCTGAACACTGGCAGCAAGAATCTGCAAGGGAAGTAGGGAATGGGTGGTTTAAAATGGTAAAAAATCTGGGCAAGTTTTATTTTATTTTTAGGGAACCCTCGATGACGGGCATTTCATTCAGGACCTAGCCTTGTGCTACGTGAAAGCTCTGGGATGTTCTTTCTAATTTACTTAACAGAAAGCCATTTCAAGGGCAGGAAATCATAGAGGAATCACAGAATTGCAGAGTTGGAAGGGACTCTGAGGACCATCTGGGCCAACCCTCTGCAATGCAGGAATATTCAGCTGTCCCATTCAGGGATCGAACCTGCAACCTTGGTGTTATCAGCACTGTGCTCTAACGAGCTGAGCTCTCCAGGAGAAGCATGGCATGCACCAAATTATCATTATTATTATTTTTTTAAATGTGACATCTTCATCCTTCAGCATTCCAGATGTATTTTTACTAGGGCTTGTACCGGGGAACATCCCAGTAGATAGCGCCCCATATTAATTAGTGGGGACACCATTTAGAGTACAGGGTCTAACCTACAGCTGTCCAGAATCTGTTGGGAGTCCCCCATATTTGCCCTGGCCACTGGCATTGCTGGCTGGGGCTGATTGGAATTAGAGTCCCACAACATTTGGAGAAGAACATGTTAGTCACCCTCTGGATTAGACTTCAGGAACAAAAAATGTCATGGGCTGGCTCCAGTTTTAAGGGATCCAAGTGGGCAAAATAAATTAACTTCCCGCACTAGGGAAATCCTAGTTAATTTTACTACAGAAGAGGCTTTGGTTTGGCTGATGGCATTCCTCCACAGCCTCCATTGCCCAACAGTTAATCATTATACCTCCCAACTAGGAGATTGTGTTGGACCTTGGGCTACTTCACATAGGTCCTTGGTCTTGTGTAAGGGGAAAGTGTACACCTTCAGGAAGGGTGTACACTAGGAGCATCCCAGACCCTGAGATTTCAGGGCCCAAACCTTAGACTTAGGGGCATCCCCTGGTGATGTCACAGAGGTGGGCCCTGGCCATTCTTCCTCTGCACTCCCTCCCACCCCTGAGCCCTGGAGATGGAAGTTAATTGGAAGAGGGAGTCTCTGCAATAATCTGCAGCTGGCTCCTGCCAGGCTGAAGCTTGCAGGCTGTATGCACAGTCTTCTCAATAAATGAAAATGAAAATTAAATTAAGGCACAAAAGAAAGTAGTATACCACTAGTAGTACCACAATAGTAGTGCAGTAGTGGCGATAATGGTATTTCTGGACGATAACTGGGCTAGTTGCAGCTACACAGCCAAGAGTCCTGTGGTAGCATTTAACTAAAGAAAGCTATGTAAGAAAGGAGGGGAATACCCAATGGCTATGAAATGTAAGAGACAGGGGTAATTCAATGGCATTTCTATGCAAGGACAAATCGTCGGCAAGATAAGATCTGTGACCCGTTCACAGCACTAGCAAGCACTATCTTAAAAATCTTTGCTTTACAAATTTAACAGCTATAGTGGGAAAGAAACACACAGTTCTGATTAAGTCTAAATTCAAGGGGGGGGACATCAAATGTGCTGATCAATGTTAGCTCAGCAGGTTCATGCTAGAACTTCCCTTTAATATTATTCTCTGATTGTGGTTAATGTTATTCTGACATCATCAGCTAAGTGTTCTTGGATTTTAAAAATCCTTTGCCTAATGCCTACTTACATGTTACACAGACTAAAAGAATTGGATTTGAGGTCTCTGGGTGCTAAGCAGATTTTTTTAAAAAGGGGGGGTTCTCCCCAAACCTTTCAGACTTTCCTCATGGGCTTGTTAAAAGCCAGTTTGCTACGGTTTTCCATCCTAGAATTGTAGAGCTGGGAGGCACCCTGGGGATCATCTAGTCCAACCCCCTACAGTGCAGGAATCTGCAGCTGTCCCATAAGGGACTCGAACCCTCAACCTTGGCGTTATCAGCACCACGCTCTAACCAACTGAGCTATCCAGGCTAAGAAGCCCCCTTAGAGTCACTTCACCATACCTTGCTCCGCAGATCCTCAATGGTCTTGAAATATGGGCTGTAGTCACGGTCTGGACCAGGTGCTTGCTTCTTGTACCACTCCTTGATCTTAAACTCCAGCTCGGTGTTGGCTTCCTCCAGCGCCCGCACCTTGTCCAGGTAGTTAGCCAGGCGGTCGTTCAGGTTCTGCATGGTCTCCTTCTCGCCCCCGGCCAGAAGGCCTTCGCCACCACCAGCAACAAAGCTTCCACCGAAACTTCCACCATAGCCTCCACCAAACCCACCACCAAACCCACCACCAAGGCCGCTGCTGCTGCAGAAGCTGCCCCCATAGCCACCACCAAGGGCACTGCCTACCCCAGAGACATAGCGAGAGGAAGAGATGGAGACGCCACCAGCTCCGCCATGGATGCTCGGGGCTCTGTATCCTCCACCCATATGGACGGAGGAAAGCCGGGAGGAACCCCCAGCAAAGGAAGGCCCCTTCATCGAGGAGGAAGAGGTGTATTGCCTGTAGGTGGTGGTCATGGTTGCCAGGAAATGGAGACACTCAAGCCCAGAGAGATGTTCTTGCTGCTTTCTAAACGGCCGAGGGAACTAACGGCTCTCTCATGCCCCATGCTCCTTTTATCTCCAAGGTTGGAGGGGGGCGTTGCTTTGGAAAAGCCCTTCTTCTCTCTGCTTTGCATTCCCCAGAGCTTTCGTCATCACAGACATCAAAAGCCAACATCCACGCTCATCGTTTGTCTCCCCAGGTCTATTCATGCGTGTGTCACATTCCAGCAGATACACCTTGCCCTACAAAGGGCGGTTTTGTGTTTCCCCTTCTGTTCCCAGGTAGTGTGATTCAGAAAACAGGAGGACTATTGCTCAAGGGTACGGTGTAAGATTGCCACCTCTTTTTTTTTTTCCTGAACGAACAGTGTGCCCAGGTAGAAACAATGAGCCCTTGAGAGCTGGAAATCTGAGGGAGAGGGGGGAAATCATTACAAAACAAAGGGATATTCATACAGGAGTCCAAGCTCTAAATGCCTTGCACATCTGTTTCTGGCAGGAGATGCAAACCTGAAAGTTCTGGCCAGGGGCTGCTTCAGGGAGCGCAAGAAATGAAGAAAAAGTCCTACACAGAAGATTGCAGGTTCACATTGCATGGATGTGCAGTGGGAGATTTGTCAGTCGATACCCGTGGGAGCTTTGATCCCAGCACCAGAAGGGAATTCTCACCAATATCACAGTATGTGATGTCCTTTGATTGAACAAAGATGTAGGGAAAGGAAACTACATCCGTAGAGTTTCTGATTGTTTAGCAGTTCTTACGTCTTAAAGAAAGAAATGAAACAAGGGAAGGCCTGGGACTATTGTTCAAGTTCATGGGAGCTTCAAAATGCCACATGTTCCAAGTTATTCCAATCATGATCACACTGGGCTCTCATTTCTGGTGCAGCTGAGTCACAATTAGAAAATCAGGCAGTTCACAGCCTTGTTCACCTCCTTCTGACAACTGCAGGGTGCCACAGTGACAGCAAGAGCTAAGCCTGCTGTGCCCTTGTGCAAGGAGACACACACACACACCTAACTGGAAAAAGTCGCACCCAGTAAACTAGGCCCCCCACTTCCTAATTGCACTGGAATGAATTTGTAGCCATGGACATTTTCAGGACAAAGAGTGCATTTCAAGGGCATAAAAAGAAGCTTTTGGGGAGAGCTTGTTTTTTTTAAAAAAAATACCAGTATGAAGTTGTTGTTTTTCTCCAGTCTGCAACTTTTGTGCTCTTCCTGAGGCTGTGTACACACTACACCTTTAAAGCACATTGGAAGCACATCTCCCTCTCCAAAGATTTCTAGGCACTGTAATTTGTTATGAGCTGGTCAGAACTGTAGGGTGAACTCCTATGCCCCACTGAAATGGGGAATGCCTAAATGTACTGAAGGCTTTAACATAAGGAAATTCCACTGGAGTATACAAAGTGGTCCCTGAACTCCTTGATGAGTTGATAGTTAACTGTTGTTGTTTTCTGCTAGCTAAACCATGAGTGTTTAACCTTAGATCAGGTGACAAAGGTATTTGGTTGCAAATCTCCATTTTGAAAGCCCTGTGGCATTTTGTGGCAAAAGTGGGTGTTTGTCACTACAATTTCATCCCACACTGATTTATACCAGAGGTGGGGAACCTGCAGACCTCCAGGCTTGTGCTCCCTCCAAAACATCAAAGGCAAAAAGCAGAATACCATCTTCCAGGGTGCCATCTTCCCATTTTTTCTTGCAAAAACGTGGTGGCCATTTTGGGTGCCATGATCTCGCATAATTCCGCACTGCAAAAAAAAGTAATTTTTCTGGGGGAATCGTGGTGCAGAATCACACAAGATTACAGTGCCCAAAATAGCCACTGTTCTCTCATAAGGAAAAAACCCCCAGATTTCACGGTATTTCTGGGACAGTTGAGGGGTCTGCATCAGGTGCAACCTACACAGCAAATAGCCAAGGAGTGTGGTGGGAATTGTAACAACAACTGGAGGACTAACAGTTTCCCCTACCCCAACCTATTTGGAAGTTCTTTAGATCAGTGTTTCTTAACTGGGGAGGCATATGGCCCCCTGGGGGCCCCCAGGATATTCCAAGGCGACCATAGGTGAAATTATATAATTTGTATAATTATTAAAAATATTTTTTAAAAGTTCTATTTATAAACAAAATACAAAATAGCTACCTTTCTACTGGTAGGAGGAGGGGGCACAGGAAGGAAACAAGGTGGGGCCAAGGTCAGAAAAAGGTTGAGAAACACTGCTTTATATTCCTGCCAAATTTACTTCCAAATATATGTGCTTGAGCAAGATGGCAGCAGTGAATCTGCTCTATGCATGCAGGAATCAAAACAAACAAACAAACCCTTATAATTTAATGATGTATGGAAGTGAGAGCTGGACCATAAACAAGGCTGATCGCCAAAAAATTGATGCTTTTGAATTCTGGTGCTGGAGGAGACTCTTGAGAGTCCCATGGACTGCAAGAAGATCAAAGCTATACATTCTGAAGGAAATCAGCCCTGAGTGCTCACTGGAAGGACAGGTCGTGAAGCTGAGGCTCCAATACTTTGGCCACCTCATGAGAAGAGAAGACTCCCTGGAAAAGACCCTGATGTTGGGAAAGATGGAGGGCACAAGGAGAAGGGGACGACAGAGGACAAGATGGTTGGACAGTGTTCTCGAAGCTACAAACATGAGTCTGACCAAACTGCAGGAGGCAGTGGAAGACAGGAGTGCCTGGCGTGCTCTGGTCCATGGGGTCACAAAGAGTTGGATACGACTAAATAACTAAACAACAACATATTAATAATTAGGATGGCCAGGTGGAAAAGAGGAAAGGTCCGTTGCAACTTTAGTAGAGGCATAAAAGAGGGGTTTTCAAGCAGGGATGGTTTGTCACGCAAGTCACAGCTGCTGGCAAGCTACATTTGCTGAAACTCCCTGTTCTGCTCAAGAAGGAAAAGCGAAGGAGCCCTTTCTTGCATCTGGTCACCCAGAAGGAGCTTTTGGGGTTTCGTGCTCAGAGAGGAAGCCAGGAGCAAAAGGAAGCGGGAATCTGGCTGAGCCAAAAAGAGCTCATCTTCTCACCACCCTCTTCATCCTCACACTTCAGGAGTGTCCCCAAACAGAGGGGTCCCATTTAACTCTCATGGTTAACAGCCTATCCTTTGTGAAAATGTGTCACTCGGGGCTGGCAAACCTTTTCCAGTCAGCAAGCCGGATCCTGACTTCCCCCAAATTCCCCATGGTTCCTTTTGACAGATGGGCACCCTGCACCTTTGAAATAAAACCATGCAGGCAAAAGCTCCGGGATTTACAGGCCCTCTGCTTTTTGCAGTGAGAGGCATCTTCACCTGCCCTGCACCTGACAGCGTGGATGACATCAGGCGTAGGGCAGGTGAGAGTGGCTGGAGAGAAAACAGCCTAGTGGGCCAAATCAAGACCCCTCCTGGGCCTACGTCCATCGCCACACCTTCTGGCAGTGAATTCTGAAGGCAAATGTCGCTTGGAATGCAGACCTATGGACTTTACTGCATCCCCTAGGTAAAGGGTAAAGGGACCTCTGACCATTAGGTCCAGTCGTGGCCAACTCTGGGGTTGCAGTGCTCATCTCACTTTATTGGCCGAGGGAGCCGGCGTACAGCTTCCGGGTCATGTGGACAGCATGACTGAGCCGCTTCTGGCGAACCAGAGCAGCGCACGGAAACGCCGTTTACCTTCCCGCCGGAGCGGTACCTATTTATCTACTTGCACTTTGACGTGCTTTTGAACTGCTAGGTTGGCAGGAGCAGGGACCGAGCAACGGGAGCTCACCCTGTTGTGGGGATTCAAACCGCTGACCTTCTGATCAGCAAGTCCTAGGCTCTGTGGTTTAACCCACAGCGCCACCCGCGTCCCTCCACTGCACCCCCTACACACACACAAATCTGAAATGACGACCCCCGTCTCTGAGGGAGGGCTATTTCCCTGGATACCTGCCTGCCTTCCACCCTCCAGTCCGGACAGCATTTGCATCACAGCCAGAGAGCATTGGCGGTCATTGCCACATCATGCGCAAGGGGACTGCGTGCCAAATGCACGTTGTCACACTATGACTGGCGCATTCTGTTTCTTCGCTCCTGCGTTTCCCACGCGTTGCCAGCTTTGGCTCTTAACCAAGCTCTAATTATTTCTTTTTTTCCTCTCCTTTTCTTTTCACAGCCCTTCAGAAAGGTGGAAACAATTCTGTGTACTCGGGGATCAATAAAACTTGCCCTGGCTTGACTCCTGGCATCCTATTCACCTTGGCGCCTTTTCTTAAGGAATTACGTGGCTTCTGTTGGGTGAATAGCCTCAGGGCAGCATTGCCAACCATGACTTATACTTTTGGTTTGTGGTGTCTCTCTCTCTTTCATTATGGTTTTATTATTTTTATTTTTACTAGGTAACTGTGCCAGGATTTCTCCTGGCAAGAGCCATCAGAAGATGGATATATTTTTTTAAAAAATAATAATTAGCACTTTATAAATTGCATATTTATCCTGTGTTTTGTTTTGTATTTGTTCCTAATCTTTGTTTTATGTATTCTTTTCTACTACATGTTATTTTAGCTGCCTTGTGGGCCCCAGGCTGAAAAGGCTGTATATATACCGTATTTTTCTGCTAGTTCCTCTGACCAACTCTCTCCTGACACACTTGGCCAACCAAGGGGGAGGCCCTTTTCTCGGTCCTGCCACCGTGAGAACGTGGGACAGGGCCTTCTTGGTGGCTGCTCCCAGACTTCAGAACTCCCTCCCTAGAGAAGCTAGACAGGCTCCCTCCTTGTTGTCCTTGAAGACCTTCTTGCATTTGCAGCGGAGAATCAGCAAGCATGATGGCAGTGCTTAACTCTTTTCCCATCCAAGGCCAACACTACTATTAGGCAGAGTGAGGCAGTGACCTTGGGCAGCTGCTGTGGTGTCACAAAAGGGCAGCAAATTCTGGTTTGTTTCTTATCATGGTGGGTTTTGGGGTTTTTTACTGCCA